GCACACTGCGCACACACGGAATCCCAGGGAGAGCAGGCACACTGCACACACACGGAATCCCAGGGAGAGCAGGCACACTGCACACACACGGAATCCCAGGGAGAGCATGCACACTGCACACGGAGCCATGGCAGTGTTGGCAGGCCATATTTTCGTCTATATTTTCATCCGGGAAATGAACAGTGTCGCAGATGAAAAGCAGCATAGCAGCAGCTGAAACACACGGGTAACACTGAGAATGAGCGCACTAACTCTCTGCCTCCCTCCCCCCCAGGGTATACATCGGGAAGAGGCTGACCACACCCCCTGCCAGCTCCTTCTGAGCCCTGCCCTCACTATACACCCCCCTCCCTCTGACTCCCACCCTCTTACCTCCCCCACACTCTCTATTTCCTTCTTAGACTTTTATGTTTTTATGTCCAGTGGTCCTGCCCACCCTGAAACACTGCAAGGTGACGACTGCCACCTCATTTCAGACTCCGCCCCTTGTCACTCCTGGAGGGGCGGAGCTACAGCATCAGCCAACCTCAAAACTGATGCCTGTGAAACAAGCCGCCCTCTGAGCTGAAACCTGTGGGGGGAGATTTCAGGAAGAGCAGCTGAGGGGCGTGTTTGACTAAACATGGGGCAGCGATGTAGCAGCGGCTGATTGGCTCAGTCCTACAAAGGTGGCCCTGTTATTATTCTCATCACAGTCATAATTATAACCCTCACGGTGTAGTTCAGTAGTGACCGTCTCATGCTTGAATCTGAAACCTTTGGTTAGAAGTACAGAAATCAGAAGTGCAGTTCCTCAGAATGCCAGCTGGGGGTGCCGCTGTGCAGCCTGTAGGTCAGGACGCGGCTGGACAGGAGTCCTCAGTGTATGAGAGAGACCCCCCCCTCAGCCACCCTGCTGTGAATTATGTTTATGGGAAAGAAAATCCGCCTATCCCCAATCCCCCCCCGCCCCCAACACCACCCGCACCACCTCATCTCTCCCGCATCTCCGCTTCCTCCTTCCTCCACGGCCTTGCAGCCTGGGGCTCGAGGCTTGGCTGAACTGGCTGAACACACAGAATGTGCACGATGGGGGATTTCCTGCCTGCTCCTTGTTTTTTGGTTTTGTTTCTGCTGGAAAGGGGAGCAGGAGAGATGGCAAAGACGCCGTAGTAATTTTGATAATGATGGTTAAGGTGTTTGTTCCTAGAATTAGCAGGGTTTTTTTTTTTGCTTTGTTTTCTCTGATTGATTTTTGTCATTAAAATTCTCCACTGCAGCAAAGACCCTGAATGGAAGGCATTGATTTCTTTTCCCTTCCTCTTTGCTTTGTCATCCTCGCGATACACGCTCCTCTGCTGTCTGGGTTTAGCAGTTGGCGTGAACTGCAATGTCCCTCCCAGCCCTAAAAAGTACAGGGATCAGCTGTTTGCCAACTGTAGCTGGTAACTAAGGGCTTTTCTTCTTCTGCACCAGGTACTGTACTTTTCGTACAACAAACTCAGTGCTTCTTTTCCGCTGTTTTCTGGTCAGATTCCACCACCAAAAGTACCACACCAGCTAGGTACTTAAGTACTGCGGTACTTTGGGGTGGGATTTGCAAACATGTTTATTGTCACTTGGCTTTGCAGAACATCTGACCCACAAATACAACCTACATCCACCATTGTGAAAAAAGATAGTTATGAATGACCAGATCACCGCTATCCCCACACCCAAAGCCGTTCCGGGTGACCAGATCACCGCTATCCCCACACCCAAAGCCGTTCCGGGTGACCAGATCACCGCTATC